TAAATTTAAAATTTTTAAAAAAATTTATTTATGTAACTTTTTATATTTAAAAAATATTCTTCCTCTGAAAATTATTTTCTCTCTCTAAAATGGTAATACATAAACTAATCAACTTTTATATATATATATATATATATATATATATATATATATATATATATGCAAGGGTAAATTTTTTCTACAGCCACTTTAAATAATATTATCTACAGTTATCCTAAAAATTACGTCATTTTGATTAATGAAGGGTGTTTCTGTAATTTTAAGTGAATTAATGAAGGGTATTTTCGTAATTTTTTTTTTATCACATACATTTTATGAAAACACTCTTCATTAATTCATCTAAAATTACAGAAACACCCTTCATTAATCAAAACGACATCGTTTTTGGATTGCTGTTCGTTTTTGGATTGCTGTAGATAACCTTATTTAAAGTAGCTGTAGAAATATTTTTTCCATATATATATATATATATATATATATATATATATATATATATATATATATATGACAAGGTAAAATTTTTGAGAAATTTTTTTTTCTTTATCCTCAAAAAAATTTTCTGTAATACATAAGTAAGGACTTGGATATTCCTCAAAATCTGATGCATTTCAACGTCAAAAGCCAAACATGGTGAGTACTTTTTTTTTATCAAAACCAAACTAATATATTGCTCCAATCGGTTCCGTAACTTGTATTAGTGAATCAAAATGGATCTTTAAATTCTATGGGCTTTTGGTTTGAGTAATTAGTCATAAACCTTTTTACTTTTTAATATATATATTATCGGTAAAGAATTTCTTCCGTCAACGGAAATAAGTTATTTTCGGTGAGCTCAAAACGACGTTATTTTAGGACAAAAATAAGATGTTTTTGTAATTCTAATATATTGCAGGGTTATATTAGTCTTTATTAATATAATTTTTTAATCTTATAACTCAAAACGACGTCATTTTGAGCTCACTGAAGATAAATATATCCAGTGACTACTGAAGAAATACTTTTTCCATATATTATAGGTAAAGGATCTCTTCAGTCATAGAGATAAATTATCTCCGGTGAGCCCAAAATGATGTAGTTTTAGGGCAGAAATCAAAATATTTTTATAATTTTAATATATTACAGGGTTATATTAGTCTTTATCATTATAATTTTTAATCTTATAATCTCAAAATGACATCACTTTGAGCTCACGGGAGATAACTTTATCTCCGCTAACTGTAGAAATATTTTTTCCATATATTATATATATATAGGTTTAATTAATGTTTTTTATATTGTATGAGATAAATTTATCTTCTAACACATAAAATTGTATTGGACCTGTATTTTTTCTTTTTTTCCTCAGCCTTACACATTTTTATATATGTGTAAAAATAAATTTATCTTTTACCATTTATTAATGGTTGAGACTTTTTATATTCCGTCAAATGAGAACACCCATTATTATTAGAATATGCAATCTCATCACGTTCTAGATAGAAGATCATCATTCTTGGGGTTTCCATTATTCTTCCGTCTCCAACTACACCCAATTTCTCCCCATTATCAATCCCGTCTCAAGTCCATGACAATATTATCCAAATCTCTAGAGTGTGTTTGGTAGAAGAGAAAAAAAAATTGACTGAAAAAATAGGATAGGTAAAATTATATGGCCATATATTTGATAGAAAGAAGAGTTAAAAGGGATTGGACACAATTTTTTCCCATCTAATTTTTTTACACATAAATTTTACCAGGGATGGAATGAAATTTTTTTTACCTTTGCGGTGGTAAAATTTTACACAGAAATCATTTAATTTTTCCGAAAATATTTTGGCCTACTAAAAATCTTTTTTAACTTACCTGACAAAGAATTCTTCCCAACATATTCTGAGCAAATATTTGTCCCTGATAAAAAAAAATTTCTTCTATACCAAAGTCTCCCTAGAAACCAAATTTTTTTCCTTCGTAAAAAATTATAATCTCATTCATCCTTCAATCTCAGAGTGTTTTATAAGTTAACAAATGAAGCGCAACTTATTTGTTGACTTGACCACAAAATAGATGTCATATATAGCCTCATGAATGAAGGAACTATTTTAATGAAGTTCATCCAAAGGAGAACGAATTTTGTGTACACATGATCTAATCTATAACATAGTTTCTGCATCGGACTAGTCGGGATAAACCGATTAACGTTTCAAAATTTGAATTAGTCATTAAACCGGTAAAAATACTAGTTTATGATTTATTTATCTAACCGGGGTTGAACCGTTATCAAATTAGTTGCAAGAGTTAGAAGTCTTACACTCAATTTTTAACATTGATCCACTTGTATCCAATGGCTCAAATTACTAAAAAATTAGAGTCCTTAGATATAAGTGGGATCAATAGTCAAGATTGAGAGTGTAACTTACACTGGTGTAAAATGATCCTAAACCCCCCCCACACACATATATATATATATATATATATATATATATATATATATATAATAAACAAACATTATAAGATATTAAATTAAGTAAAAAATTTATAAATGTTGTTAGATGAAAGAATCGATGATAAAAAAATAAATAAAAGAAAAACTAAATAATAGCAATCCATGCTGGAGCCTGTATGCGGACCTTTATTAGTCTCAAAAAACTTTTTTTAATTAAATAAAAAATTAAACAAAACAACTGGTTCAAACCAATTTTAATCACTTTTTACTAACCAATTTTGAACAGATCTGTGTAATTATCTGATCGTTCAATTTTGAACCGGTTGTCTGATCAGTTCACTAATTTTCCCATCGAACTGATTGAATTTTTTTTCTTATTTTTTTCATTGGGATTGAAAATTTATTTGACATTTAAATTTGGATCTTTCATAGACTAGTAAAAGTAAATACTTGCTTTTAGAGGTTTAGTACAGACCTGGTTCACTAATAGTCATATACAATTTAGAAATAATACTCAATCACTTTTTATTCAAGTCTCGATACTACAGTTGATGTAACTGTGTAAGACAAAGCTCATAGACTCAACCACTTAATATGTACTGAGTCAGCTATGAAAATTATTGTTGTCTTCCCCTATCCAATACACTAATCATGGTTAGCACGAAAAAAATTAAATGTTGTACGTGTAAGATAATCATGGTACACGTAATTGATGTTACACATGTTCAATGACACCGTGGAAGGGCATTATCTATACCTAATGTGCCAAAGAATCTCCCCTCTTATTAGACAGCATACTGATTGACATTACAACAATGTAACGGTTCGTATTAGAAGGTGTAATTTTTTTTTTATAATTTTAGATGTGTGAATAAACTAATAACCATAGAGAAGAGTGGGGACAGAAAATCCTATTATAGCTTTTACCAGTGTTTAAAAATCCGGCCCAGCCATCGACCCGGTCGAGGTCAGGGGTCACAGGTTCAACCGGAGGGTCACGGGGTCACTATGCTGACCTGATTTTATATATTAAAAAAATAAATATATATATCCTATATGAAAATATTAAAAAACAAACCACCAATCATCAAAGATTCAAAATATACTTAACATAATTCACCAATTACAACCACAAGTCAATATTACACAACCTAATTAAAGTATCAAGATATCAAAGTACAAAACTCATATTCTAATGGAGTCACTACGTGACCTGATTCTGCCTTTTTTGAGAAGGTCCTTGACAAAGAAAAATTTAAAGGAAGTAAGAATGAGTTTTTGTTTTCCATCGACGACCGTAAGGATTTCATTTGAATGAGTAAAATTCTTACCTTTCTTAGAAGATTCACTGCAGCGAGATGAAGATTGAAGACATCTAGGTCGCTGGGAGAGAAGAGAACGATTAGATTTAGGTTTGCAAGCATTTTATTTTATTTTTTTAATAAAACGATATTGTTTCAAGGAATTTTTTTTTAAAAAAAAACATGCACATGCCCTCTTTGACCCCTCTGACCGGGAGTCACTGAAACCCGGCCGAGTTTTGGGGGTCGAACGGGTCGATATGCATATAGGGTCCAACTTGTGATCCCAACCCTGAGAGGGGAGGAGTCAGGGTTGACCCGGGTCAACCCCGGGGGCGGAGTGGGGTTTTAAAACGCTGGATTTTACAAGTACAAGCTCATTTTCAATTTATGTTACAGGGCGTTTCTCACTTAAAAACGATGAGCACAGCTATGTAGTAGTTCTGCTAGAGATTTTAATACTTAACTGCCTCAGTTTCAATCCCAAGCAGCGACCAACAATAGCTGAAGTTGTGGTTAATTTAAAGCAAATAGAGGCAAAAGTTGGGATTGCATAATCAGAGCTCCCATGGAATAACCTACAAGTTTACTCCATGACTTCCTGCAGATAGACCTAAAAGGATGTAGCACCTATGCTTTTATTAACATTGCTCCTTCATAAAGCTTATGTCGTTTTATTTCTTCAATTATTTATGTATAACAACCTTTTATGAAGTGGACAGTTTTAATGTAACTTGTAAAGAACCAATTCAACCCAAAAGCTTAAGCTGTTGGGTGAGGCTACAATAATGATTTTATATATCTCAACACGCCCCCTCACACGAGAGCCCACTGGGCTTGAAGGGTGGACAATGCACAGACCCACCTACCTGTGCGAACAAAGAAATTCCACTTGAAAGAAAGTGGGAGGCGACGAGGATCGAATCCGGGACACAAGGCTCTGATACCATGTAAAGAACCAATTCAACCTAAGAGCTTAAGCTGTTGGGTGAAGCTACAATAATGGTTTTATATATCTCCAATAACTCTTGGCAAGAATTGTGTCCATGAAAGTAGTACAAATATCACATTAGCTATAATCAACCAACATTCAGTACTATTTTAAACCACAAAAAAACAAATTAACATGCAGAATACTGCTTTGCAAAATTTCTATAGCTTGTGTAAATAGTGCTAATCTTCAATTAAAATTGTGTCCAAGACTCTAAGTACATACTCATTATATCTAGTCAAAAATACAACCTGATAAAGATAAGAAATTTATATACAGATGTTTAGAGTTTAGTGTAGATTATGAGTATGGTGCAGCAGTAAAATTGCTCCTTGTAACTGGAAGGTCACGGATTTGAGTCTCGGGGCCTCACTCTTACCCTTGCAAGTTGGGGAACCTTATGTACGAAGATTCACCTTTTTATGTTCAAAGTTTAGTGTACAAAGGCAGATTGTCTGGGAGATGGCAATGGGAATTCAGTGCGAGTAAAATTTAAAGAGGTAAGATTCTGTGCAGGAGACTTTCTTACAGCAACATGGACTCTCTTCTGGACTCTCTTCTGTTCCAATTGGGAGTTTCGCCCTCTATTTTTAGGGACTTCAATCTGTTCCAATGTTTCTAATACCTCTGTCATTGGAGGCCTTTCCTTGGCTTCACTAAGGCATTTTACAGCAAGAGTAGCAGCCATGTAGGCTCCCTTTAGAGGGTATTGGCCCCCCAACTTGGTGTCCATAATCCTAAATAGTCTTCTTTTGTCACCCAAATATGGTTTTGCCCAGTCTACCAGACTCTGCTCTATACCAGCTTTTGTTCTATCAACTGCACGTCTTCCAGACAAAAGTTCAAGCAACACAACCCCAAAGCTGTATACATCACTTTTGGTTGTCAACCTACCTGTCAACCAAAGTTTTAGTACAGTTAGCATCAAAATCACCTTTATCCCAAATTAGTTGGGGTTCAATTAACGAACCAATAAATATAAAAACAAGAACAGATAAAGGAAAAATAAATATAAAGCTTTAGTTTGATTATTAACAAAAAATGAGACATGTGAAATGAGTTAGCTTCTGATCTATCCTATGGAGCAGTCCAACAGAGCAAACATAATGAATCTAAAAGTTGAGGCACATATTTTCCTGTTTTGACAAAACATATGGATTCGAATTCAGAAGGTAAATCATGAACCCCATTGCACTAGGTACCAGTGTGACAAGCAATGCTGGTTGCCAGACATTTATACCTAGACTCTCATAGGATTGACTTGTACAATGTAGCATGTTAAAATGGACATAAATGATTAAAGACCACTAACCATAAATCTTAGAAACAAAGCAAAATACCATTTACAGTTAACGCAAATCTGAAGCAAACCTGTTGCAATATATTCAGGGGCAGCATATCCATGGGTGCCCAGGACTTGAGTAGAGACATGAGTTCTATCACCCGTAGGGCCAGCCTTCGCTAAGCCAAAATCAGAGAGTTTAGCATTGAAATCCTGTAATCCAATGCATGATAAGGAATTATTTTTCATAATATAATAGTAATGAAGAAATTATTATATCATTTTAATCCTCATTGATCTTACTGCATCTAGCAGGATATTAGCTGCTTTGAAATCACGGTATATGACTTGCGATTTGGCATTATGAAGAAAAGAAAGTCCTCTGGCAGCACCAATAGCCACTTTCATCCTCACTGACCAAGAGAGTGGTTGTGGTCCTCCTGTCAAATACAATGAACCCATCAATCACAATGCAAAATATTGTAATATGTTGTTTTCCTAAATGCATTAGTTATCAAATATTCAAATCAAACTCAAATATCTGTTATTTTGGCAAACAATGAACTGATATCTTAATTTTGACATACCATAGCTTTCTCTTGTTTTTTATTTTTTTAGCTGAAAGACATATCATAGCTAACAACAAAGAAGATCATTGTAAAGGAACCAGTGATCTTTGTTGATATCTATCTTATTCTCTTTTTAGTTTCTTTGACGACAAAATGATTAAGGAAATAGCTGAATAAACTGAAATTACAAAAGAACAGTGCAATGGTTACAATCACTTACTTCTAAACAGATGATTCTCTAAGCTCCCTTTGGGCATAAACTCATAGACCAACAACCGGTTCTCTCCCTCCACACAGTACCCAATCAGTTTAACCAGGTTATGATGGTGAAGTTGCCCGAGATAGTTAACTTCAGTCTGAAAATTGATTCAAGTTTCACTAGTTAGACCATGCATGATATCAAAAAAATAAATTAGAAAAAAAATACAAAATACAAAAGCATATAGTTTTCTTTTTGGGCAGGGGAAAGGGGTACAAATATGAGTAAGTCATCTTATGGGTTTGAAAAAAGAAAAGAAAAGAAAAGACCTACCAACCACTCCTTATGACCTTGTAAACCTTCAGGCTTAAGTTTCTTTACGGCAACGATAATTCCTGATCCAGGTTTTGCAGCTGTAAATGTGTGTTCATCAATCCAACCCTTATAAACATAACCAAATCCTCCTTCACCAAGAAGACTGTCGGGACGAAAGTTTCTGGTGGCATTCTTTAGCTCATTGAACATGAAGGCCTTAACATTTGGCGAAGACAAGATTTCACCCTCAGACCTTGGTGTGGGAAGACTTGAGACATCACTTTTTTCACTGTATGTCAGAATAGATAAGGTGGAAGGAGCAGATGAAGTACTAGTTTTTGAAATTCCTGATGCTGACAGAAGAAGAAAACATTAATTTAGTTCCTATTATGATGCCATTTCACAAACATAAAGCAGGCAGTGGCCAAATAACCTTGAAACTCAACCAACCATACTCATATAATCCATTTAGGCATCAACATCATTACATCAACATAAACAACACTTTTCATTATTACTTATTAGGATCGTTACACTTTTCCCCTGTCTCTGCACATATTTAAAGGGCAAAACAAAAAAACGTAGCCAAAGCGTTGCTTAGTTTATTTATAGTCTGAACTCTCCCATTTCCTAAGCTTTAAATAGCTTAGTTTAGCTGCAATGCAATTACAAGTATTCAGCACCATTTGAGGTATTACTGATACAAAATTTCAATCTAAAATTAAATTAATCAGAAATTTGCAAAGCGCTTAACATAATGATGGACTAATACATCAATCCCTATTTTTTTTGTGACACAATACAGATGCAGACAATAAAACAGCAACAGAAATCACACTTTACTCCTCAAAAAAATAAAAAATAAAAATCTGATGAATACACTAAACACCCAGAATCCATAAAAGTGGGAGAGAGTGATATATGGAAGAATTTAACCCCCCAAAAAAACAAAAGGAGTCAAAAAAAAAAAAAAAGCTTGAAAACCCACCAAGAATGCACTATTTACAACACCATCAAACTCACATGTTTGAGATCCACCTCTCCGGAAACGGCGAAAAGCAATATTAACAAATGATGACAAAAGCAAAAACACACACATATGAGATGGTCGTCGCGTACGTACTTCACACACACACACACACACACACAAACACAAGAAATAAAAACAGTGTTACTATATAGGTATGGGAAGTGAAGTGGTGTCTGAAAAGCAAAGACAAACTACCAGAAACGGTTGTGGAACTATGAGCCGCATCTTCTTTAGCTGAAGAAACTAGGCAGTTACCCATTATAACTCCGGTCGGAAAATCTAGTCACTCAAATGCTGTTTACAACAAAACTAAAAATAAAAAGGTAGTTTTTTTTTTTTTTTTTTCACGTGGGTTTGGTTGAAGTTGAAAAGCTTGATGAACAAGGAATGAAATTTTGGATGACAAGAAAGAAAGAAGCGGGTTTTAGAAAGAGAGGAGAAAGTGTATCTGAAGTTGAACTAACAAACACATTGGGATTGATGACAAGTCCAAACACTAGAAGCGCGTGGGGACTTTTCCCTCTGATGATGACGGGTTTGTGTCACCCTCCTACATTTACTATATTACCCCTTAATTTCTCCGTTTAACTATTTTATTTGAATATCCTGTCGCATGACACAAAAAAATTTCTTACACATATAATATTTTGTGAGGTCCACACTTGTTGAAACAAAAAAATAAATAAGACACGCAAAATGAATCTCTATAACATTACACAATTATTTTTTCTACAACATAACTCTTATAAAACCCTTTTATTTAATGTCATCGTATTTTTTTATGAATTTAATATTTCTTATATTATAAAAAATACAAAATTTATGTATGTATATTATGACAATGTAAGGAGAAGAAAAGAAAAAAAACACTGGTCTCATGCATTTTTAAACGTGGGTGGAAGATAAAAATTATCACAAGACTTATAAAATGTTCTATTTATAATAATGTTAAGTTTTCCAAAAATTTACCGTGAAAATGTAACTTTGCTTTATGAAATCATAAAAAAAAATGAGTTAATTCATCTCTACAAAATATATATATATAGGGTCAGGATCATTTTACACCAGTGTAAGTTACACTCTCAATCTTGTCCATTGATCTCATTTATATCTAAGGGTTCAAATCTTTTAGTAATGTGAGCCATTGGATACAAGTGGATCAATGGTTAAGATTGAGTGTAAGACTTCTAACTCTTACACCAGTGTAAGAATATCCTACCCCATATATATATATATATATATATATATATATATATATATATATATATATATATATATATATATATATATATATATATATATATGGCAGTCATTTAGTGTGACGACAGTGTTATTGAACTCAAATAAATTGATATAATCTTTAATTATTTTTCCCAAACTTTATAAGTAACTCAAATATATAATTATAATATCTCTACTAAATTTTTTATGCCTTCAAAATATATAATGCACTAGCCTTTCTAATTGCCCTATCTAAGTTTAATTTTTTTAACTTAATAATAATCATCGTCAATTTAACTTCAACTTTTCAAATCATACCACTTCTCTTTCTCTCGAACTCTTCATCAGTATTTCTCCAATTTTAGGTTACATATATGATATACAGGTAAGATAAGGATCTCTTTTTCGTAATTCATCTATAGCTTATAAAAATTGTTTCACTTGTGAAGCATCCTAATGAGCTTCTTAAAGTGGTATCCCTCGAACCAGGCCAAAACTCGAGATAATTCTTCTCTATGAACGGGTGTAATCATGGTAATTAAAATCTCAATTTAAATTTGCGCTTTTATGATTTTACAAAAAAATTTAATCAAAACGATTTCATCAAAATTTCAAACGTTTTTACGTTTTTAATAAAATTTTTTACATTAAAATTTTACGTTTTACGATTTTTTATCCTCCTTCCGATTTTAGGTAAAATCCTGATTTTAACTACCATGGGAGTAGTGTAATAAATAAAGGCAAAAACTATTCTCGTGCTACATGAGATAAGTTTTTCCTCTTATACATCATTCGATAATTATGTCACCTTTCTTTCTTTCTTTTTCTTTTTTCAGGTATTGGAGTCTACAATTTTATCTCTATGACATCAGATAATTTATCTCATTTTATCTCCTTTAACATGAGATTAATAAAACTCATAAATAAATTATTTAGTGAGCCTTGAAATTTTGAGTATACGAATTGAAGTCTAACATAGTTTATCCATATTAAGGCGTGCAAGCACATCATGGAAACTTGGAAAACTTTTTTGTACCTTTTCAACTGATAAAATGTCTTGCTGATTAATTGAAATGACAAGTTGATCATCTAGATGTGTATCTCCAGTTTTTCATTAAATAGTTTAAATTTATCATGGTAAAACGAATTCAATCCGTGGATTGATCCATTTAATCTATTATATATAATGGGCTGAGATTCTCAACCCATCAATCCACTTAAGCCCGCTATGCATAAGTATACGTCAAAATGAATTGAACTTGTCACAATGATGGCTTGACCGTCTTTTTAATAAAATATTAATCATTAATTATTTCATAACTCTTTGATTTTCATTTAACACTCTTTTAAAAAAAAAACAAAAAAAAACTCATTTAACACTCTTTATTTCTCTGACCAACACAAGTTTTTTGTATTTTTTATCAAGTTTAATATATAGGCTAGTTGATGATTGACGGTTGACCCATCAACTTTCCATAAAATGAAAAAATTTGAGATTTTAAACAACTTTCAAAAAAGGAGCAGGACATATTGTTTGTTTTTCCACCTCTAATCATAATATATATGATGTTTACTAATTATATTACAAATATATATTTATATAATCTTAAAATTAAAGAGTTTATAACCCGATTGGTCCATTTTGTGGCCAAATTTAAAGTCGTAATTTTGCTTAAAATTGGTGGAATTGATTATTCATTTTTCAATGTTTGAACCGGTTTTAATTTTATCGATTTTAAAATAATTCTAAGATTTGACGCGGACCAATGAAGATTTCAATTGCCAATTCAAACGATTAATTCAATTTGGTTCAATTAATTTTTAAAACAATGTGTAATGGTCTTCTTTTTAATATACATATCTTCAGGCACGATGAGATAGTAACGCACGATAATATATGAAAGACATACTGATTAGAGTCATTAGACACGAGAAATGAGTGACTTGCAACCTAAGCGAAAAATTGAATATAGAATTGTTTGCGCAAAAAAGTCAAATAAAACAAGATAAATGGTTCAACAACTTGATCCAGATGAGTGCAAGCTGGCAACCCAATAATTAGATTTTAAAGTAACATTGTGGTATCCATTTAACAATTTAAACGTTTGAGTTGAATCAATTCTTCATATAATTATATGATATCAATTTGTGTCCAAATGCTCATAAATTCAATTTTTTTAATAAATATTTAGTTGAAATTTCACATGTATTTGGACTTATGCATTACTAACATTTAAAGCCTATAAACTTTTGTGTGATGGGTGTCTTAAAGAAGTATATTAAAAATTATTAAAGTTACATTCATTTAATTCTTAAGTTTTTACTGAGATGGTTATTTAACATGATATTAAAATCTGTGACCAAATGATTACGAATTTTCAATTCTCATGGCCTTCATTCTTTTAATAAGTATTTAATTGTGGAATTTTTTAACATGTGTAAATGGACTTATGCATTATTCAATTTTATAATGGGTATGATGAGTGAGTGTATTAGAGAATTCTAATATAAAATTATTAATGCAATTGTTATTTAACAACTTAAGCTTTTAAACAAGATGATTGTGTAATAAAAATTTAAAGCATGAAGATATTGAAAAATATCCGAATTGCTCTTTACCCACTAATGATCATCTCCAATCCAAGCTAGTCAACTCAAAATATATCTATATAATAGAAGTTATTAATTTTTCTTTTATATATTACTAATTTTTTAATTTTGATTCTAATATGGACCTACTACATGTCAGATAGAGGGTCAATTGCTAAAGACTCAAAAGGCTCAGGGGACCCTTGTGACATAGCCACAAAGGCATACCATCCCACCAAGGAGGCATGGGTCTCGCTAAATACTTGGCTATCAAGGCAACATGATTTAACTTGGAAGGAATCATCAATGTCGAGATCAGCAGTTCAGGCAAGTTGGCCTCCACCAAAAATCAGTGGATGGATGGCCGCTCCAGCTTGCCACCATACCTACTACGTCTTCTACAAAACATAGGCTTGCCTATTAAGGAATAGCCTAAAAAAGGCCACTACTCTCCACCAATTAATGAGAACTCCGCCTTATGAAGAACGGTGATAAACACGGTGCTCAAGGTATGATATTGCTCTTTGAACACTTGAACCTCCTTGGATATTAAATTGACTTGAGTATCACAATGCCTTTGTAGATACTCATGTCGCTCGCATACTGCCCAGATAAGCAAAAGTGCTGCCCACCCACCTCGCAACTCAATCCGCCATCTCGCCAAGCATCTCGCATCAACATTCCTTCTCTTCATCAACATTTTCTACTTTCAATTGTGTGTAATTAGGCTCAGCTCAATTGGTATTTGACCCATAATTATTCCTCAAAAGAATAAACATACATGAATATAAGATGAAATGCATTATAACAAAATTCTAGGCGTCCCAGTATAACTTTGTCGTTGATTGCAAATATTTGAAATATATAATTAAAATTAAAATTATCACACACACATATATATATTAAGGCTTTAATGTTTCTACATTGAATGTAAATAAGTTATTTATATTCACTCCTAAAAGAACGTCGTTTTGGTTTGAAAGATTAAGAAATTATAAAGAAAAAGATTATTATAACCCTAAAATAAATTATAATTATAAAAATACCTTGATTTTCGTCCTAAAATAACGTTATTTTGAGGTCAATGTAAATAACGTATCTATATTAACTGCAGAAAAAATAACCCTAATTTTAATTCAGTGAACTATTCATAAGAAGAATAATCAAACATGAATATGAAGATGAAATGCATTATAATGAGATTTTATGCTTTCCGTATATAACTTCGTAGTTGATTTCGAATTAATTGCACAATTACTTGAAATTTCCTTTGATTCAATTTCAAATGTTGAGTATTTTACTCTTTGGGCTTGTAGCTTAATATCATGGGCTTGTAATGCGGGCATTATGCGAGTCTATGATGGGCTAGACTTTCATAAGTGTATGCCTAAATGGAAAGAACCCTAACATGATCTATAAAACAATGGGTAGTCCTTCTGTCCTTTCCCTCATCACTATAGTTCGTTCTTTCTTCTCTTATAGATGTAGTTCATGTCATTGCATTCAGGGAATCTGATGGGTTGGGACAATTTA